CGCCTGCTGTTTTGATTTTTATCAGTGTATCAGACAATAATTGTTTGGATTCCATTTGAAATAGTTATTAATTTTTTTTAATACACTTTATATTTATTTATATGTACAACATGTGTATGTATGTATATAGCAATCTACTATATTTTATATAATATGTTCATGTAAATTATAAAATTCAAATAAGAATTTTCAAGCGATAATACTAGAATTTCGACAAAATGTACATAAACAAAATACTTCAGTGTTGGTTTTTATTATTTTTGTTTTACTTACTATATTTACTTCATTATCGACTGCTCAAAAAATGTACTTACAAATAAACAGAACTAATTGAGATATTAAATTTTACAAACTTAAAGAAATCAAATATTTTATATGATATTTTAATAATATCTTGAAATTAAGTGCATATAGATAGAAGTCCTCCTAATTATCTCATGTTTATTTTTTAATAGCACTTCAAATACATATTAATAATCCAATCGACTAGTATACTAATTATTAGAGCATTATTAACCAAATAAATATTCCCAAAGTATTTTATTAAAAATTTGTAAAAATAGAACACAATATGATAAATTTAAGCACACCTTCTTAATCTCGAAATTTGTTTTTAAATTTATAATTTACATACTAAATCAAATTAAAATTTAAGTTTGAATATCACTATAACATTTTGCACAATTATAACTTTGCTAATTAATATTACATATTTAATATAATTTTAATAGCAAATAATATAACACGAATTTAATGAAAGCGATAGATAATCACCTAAAATCACATAAAAATTTACTTCTTAAGTAAAAATGTAATACTAAACGTGCTTTAAATTTATAGTTTTTCGTGTTGTTAAACCAAAAATAATTTTTGTTCTTGAATTTTTCCAAAATCCAACAAAATATTTTTTTAATTTGCATATGCGTATGTACATACATGTAATGTAAGTATTGTATTAGTAAAATTGAATTGTTCAATATAACAGTACATATAGACTGTATTAAAATTGCATTATACACATACTAGCACGCGCTATATAACCATATTTATGGACGCAAATATTGCAATTCGCAGAGACTATATAAAAATTATTGTTCCAAATGCAGTATCGTATATGCAAACACGTTTAATTAAATATAGTTCACGAGAGTCAAAAAATTTTGCATTACTTTACAAGTAGTCTTAATTAATTTTAGAACTAAAAACTTGTTTTTAAAAAGGTATAAGAATGGTCGGAGTATTCTATACGTATTTTATGTATGTATATCTTAAGGACACTTTATGCATTTTTCGAAAAAGAAGATTTAGAGAAAACAAATTTCTTTCGGCTCTACAAAACCGTCCAAAACAATTGAGATATACATACATAGTAAATAATAAAGAAGTAATGGTTTTTTTTTTTGGAAAATTTAAAAGCTAAAGTTTAGTTTCGTAAAAATATTAACGTAGAGGTAAAAAGTTTCTTAAAACAAAAAATTATCAGAACTTTATAATAAATAGTTGAATTTGAAAAATTTCACAATTAATTAACATAAAATTAATATAATTATTTCAATTCTATTTTTCTACAGAAATAGAGACACTTCTAAATGTACTCTCCAGCGAAGCAATGTTAGCATTCTTGTATTTGGCAACTTGTATTCTAAACTATATTTTTACTAACTAAGCAAATATTTTATATGAAGCTAAGGTTCTTCAATTTACAAGATACATATACTATTTCTTTAATTATTTCACAACTCTAATCAATTTACATGAATATTTGCTATTCATACTACACCAATTATATTTGCACAGCATATAATTAAAGCATGTTGTAAATAAATCTACATATACTATAATAGTAGTAGATTTCCTACATATGCATGTACAGTATAACAACATGTTCAATGTATATAACCAGTTAATTCTACTTTATCATTTGATTTTACCTTTATAGTAAGTTCAAACAATTAGTTATTTATTTAAGAGTAGAAGAATTCTGCATAAATGTTAAATTCTAAATTCATTGAATCAAATCGATCCGAGAGCAGTAGAACAGTATTTTAAACTATAAATCGCTGGCAAAATATTCTTTTATGCTCAAGTATAATTGGCGTTTTATTTCTTTAAAAACAATTTAACCAATTCAGTAAAATAAGAACCTTGAATACTTTAATAGTAGTAAAATTTTGTCGCCTTTTTTTTGGGATAAAATCGGGAAAAGCGTCCAGAGAAATGAATAAATTTCACTCCAAGTAACCAGGCAGACAGGAATTTACGAAGGTGAATAAGAAATTACAATTAAAAAGAAAAAAGAATAAAACGTCGAGAATAGTATTTTAGCATTATAGAGAACCAAACAACAATAATATTTTTTTTTTATTTTTTTCGTTTCTCTTCCTTTTATTTTTATACATAAAATGTTTAACAGATACTTTATGTTGCTTTTTTACTTTGTATGTGCATTATACTTTTTATATAAGTGTGTATAAAACGAGGGGTAAAATAAGACGTCTTTTTTTTTTGTGTTTTATTTCTTAAATCGTTTTCAAATAAGAGCAACAGTAGCAATAGCTTTAACAGCAAAAGTAGCAAACAGTTATTACAATAGCTGCATTTGCTTCTTAAATAAGAGTCCTTTTTTTATGATACAAAAGTAAAATTTGCTTTACACAGTTTATCATTATAACATTAACGTTGTTTTCCATTTGGAGTTACAATTACAGGGTAACATATTAGTATAGAAACTAAATGGTATTGTAGCAGCAAAACGTTTAGCAAAAGAAAAAAGAAGATTTAATTAATGTAATAAATTTGTAAAAGTAAAGAATTTTATTCATTTTTGTTTTTGTTTTTTATATACTGTCCAAGTGTTCAAATTCGATCTTTTAAACGCATTTTGTTTTATTAAATATACCTATTAATTTACATATATTAACTTATTAAGTTATTGTGAATGTACTAACATGTACGCAAGTAAATACTTATATAAAAAAATGTGGTAAAGTTAATGACAAATCTATGTATTGTGTATGATCCACCATCCTGGACATTCATTTTTAAATTCCTGATTCAATTTTGTTGAAGATAATAATATTTTATAGTAACTAAAATGATGTAGGCATATTTTATCATAGTGGATTTTCGGTCTATGAAGTTACTTAATTTAAAAAACTAAATTAAATGGGTAAGGTATGTTAGTAATTATTTCTTCTTTATCAAAAACGAGTATTCTTTAAAGTATTTTTTCTTTAAATATTCTTAAATAACTGTAAATAACACTTCCAAGGATAAAAAATTTTACATAGTTACATAATACATATATGTGCGTGATTGCATGTACCTATATGTAAAATACCAAAATTTTTGTTAAATAATTAATTATGTATTATTCATATATGAGCATAACGGTAACTTAATTTAAAATATTTCTAGGTTACCGATGAACACAAAAAAGAAAAGCTCCAGTTGTTTTACAGAAGTTTGCTATTACTTAATTATAAAGTTTAAAAAAGTCAGTTTTCTTTTCATTTTCATCGGCGAAATTTAACTCAGCTTCTCTTAGAATTATCAATTAGAAATTTAGTTGAAATTTGATAAAAATTAGTTTATTCGAGAAACAAGTACGTGAAGCCATAAATTTGCAAACTGTTGTCTAATGTCTTATAATGATATGATAACCAAACATTCAATATTCAAAATTACTGATTTGGCAATAAAATAAAAAAAATTAACAAGAAAAAACCTTTTTAACAATAGCAGAAATGTTGTGAATAAATCACATTTTTACTTTTTTCTATTTAGAGTTTATCGTACCACAAACAAAAAGTCAAATTTACCAAGAGCACAGCACGACACAGAAAGTAAAATGTATGCGAATATTATCTACCTACAAGATGAGAAATCAATATTCCAAAAATTTTGAATTGAGTAATGGTTTAAAAAATATTTATATAGTATGTAGAATGATGACGAAAAACTTATTGTTTCACGCTACATTAAAGGAAAGATTATTTGTAAAAACTAGATAAAATATTAGTAAAATATGTTCATAATATAAGTATGTATGCATTATGTGGCGCATACTTATATATGTATGTATAGAGTTTTAGTCAATTAGCCTTATAAAATCCGGGATGAATATAGCTTGTATATAACTATGTAGGGGCATATAACTATGCAGCATATGTATACGCGATTTTGAATAAAGTTATAAACCAAATACAATACATGCAACGCATTTACATAGTTAAATGTAAATATTTTTGTGATGGAAGTGTATCCTTGTATTTTTTTTAATAATTGCAACATAACAGAAATCTAAGTTTACAAGGCGTTTACTGAATTAACGCTCTTACAAGAGTTTGGAAAAATAGCCACCCTCATACATGTTTCAAATACTCATATAATTATTCTTTGCTCCAGTAAAATTTCCTAAGCTAATTACTTACTTATTATGTATTATGCAGAACGTATCATCAAACACAAACGAGCCAAAGGTTTCAAAATGCTTTGAAAACTTTTGTCTTGAATTTCTTACAACCAGGCGTATAGCAGCAACAAAAGCCACTGATTCTTTATTCATAACTTTTTTTGTTGAATAAAGGAATATTGTAGTATGCACTTTAATCCTACAATTTTATTAAGGCGAAAATTTGAACCGAATACAAATTTAGAACAAAAGCATTATATTCATTACGTGTACATGCATATGCTACTCTCCTTATTTTCTTAAGAACAATGATAGGTATACCGGCATATAGCAAATTTTTCTTAAATTTATTACCGACATGTATGTAGGTACAATATAAATTCTGATTGATAGCTTATTTACTTACTGATTTGCTACTTTCATGTCAGTTTTTAGTCAATTTGTTTTATGAGTTAAAGTTAAACTTTAAGGCTTATTTTTACGAAAATTGACTGTTTAATAGCTAATTTGTTAACTAAGTTGTAAGCTAAATTTGACCTAATCTTCAATTTAGTGAGATATTTAATACTTTTACAAAAATAAATCGTAATTTATGACTCAGTACTTTATTTTTATAAGCTTATTGCAATTGTTGCTGATGACAGTAGCAAAACACTAATATTACATCTTAATATTTAAGTTCCAGAAATACTGAATTATAATGGTAGCTTATAGAAATCAGTTTCCCAAATGTATATGCAGACTTTTTGAATTCTATTTTTCATTACAAGCATTGAGCCATTAGTGGAGCTAAATTGTCAAATTCGATCTTTTCCGATATATTTTTAGTTTTTATATTTTCGTCTTGTGGCGCAATAAAAACCAAATCACCATCATGCTTCCACCCATATTTTTTCATCCAACTCTCAAGTGTTTTTTCTAAAACAAATAAATATTACATATTATAATTAAAAATACGAAACATGAAAAAAAAAATTACCTTCAACATCTCCCAGTAATGATTTAAGGGACTCTTTTTTAATAGTCTGGAAAGATCCTCCAATAACGTGACATATGAATTTTCTGATTGAATCGAAAAAACCATTTATTTTGAATAAAATGGCAGGATTTTTATCTACTCTTTGCCAAAATAGTGTAAATTCACATTTTTCTAAAATATCTGCCAAATATATTATTTCTTTTACAGTTTCTTCCTTTGCTTGAATAGGCAAAAGGGAACATTTGGCCAGAACAAAATCTGTATGTGGTAAGTTTGTCAAAGCTTTTAGAAGAATTATAATTGTAATATCTAAGTTCATTAGATGTGGATTAAACTGGTACAACTTCAAAACAGCTAAGTTTGCTTCCAAATCATAAGTGCCGAGTTTTGCTTGTTCTTCAACATATTCTTCTAGCACTTTTAAATGATCCGGATTATACCTACAAATATTCACGCATACGTTTAAATACAAATTTTGGTTAGGGATAAGCATTTTAATATACAAAAACATTAACTTGTTTCGACTTACCTTTCTATACTACCTAACATCTCAGAAATTGTTTTTGAATTGCCATCTTCCATCTTAACACGATGCTCCATTTTGCTTGGGCCAAAAAGAATTTTATAAAAACTTAAAAATTTAATATGGAAATAAATGGATTTCAATATGCCAACAAAATTTTAAAGTGACAGTATACTGTATGACATGTGTCTGGTTTGGGGAGCAAAATAACAAAACTAGATATCTATTCAATATTCGGCCATAATCGATTGTTGAGAAAAATCGAGTATTGTGACTCTGTGCTTAATATATATATGTTTTTATATTTGAATCATTTTGCAATTAATGTGGTTGCGTTTCCACTATGATTTTAGTTAGACAGCGTTTACATGATTAAGATTAATGAAGGTTGATGATAACTTACGTTTGCATTGCAAGCAATCTTTGTTAATCTCTATAAATGCACTTTAAATATAAAAATCTATAAAATCTGACACTCTATTAGTAAATGACAAATCACAACAAGAAAAAATATTAAAACAACTGATTACAGTCTATTTTATTTAAAAACTTACTTATTTTTATGCTATTTTTTATTCTATTCCTCTAAAAAATTATTGATTCTATTTTCTCGTTAAACAAAAGTTCGATGAAAAAAATGATAGACGATGTTTACATAATCAATTTTCATCAATCTCAATCAAAATTGTTAATCATTATTTGACATGTAAATGCAGACTAATGTGCCAACAAGACTAAATCTGGTTTGTTACCCAACAAACTAAATCTACGATAAAATCTGATGAGTATTTGCACATCAGATTCTATTTATACTTTTACACGAAATTTTTGACGACAACATTTTTTAATATTTGCTAAATATAAACTGATAACAAAAATTAAAATGAAAACGAAAAAAAGCATCGTGACAAAACTTTTTTGAAAATTTGTTTTCCGCAATTTTATTTTTAAAAATATGACAGAAAATCTGGTAATAATCGGATATGTTTCTATCTTTTTCATTAGATTTTATGTGATGTCAGATCGATTACACATTAGATTTTTCAGATTTGATCGTAAAATTGTTTTCGAAAAATCGAAAACAATTTACAAACAGCTCGACAAACCGAAAATTTGTGAAAAAATTCACCACTTTTGTTAATCAACTAATTTGCTAAAGAAACGAAGAAGCGGAAAAAAAAATGAAAAGGGTACAACAGAACACAACGTCTGTATCTAAGAGCCAAGATGTATTTTAATCTAAACTCCAAGATTAATATTTCTTTTCGAGAATTGTTTCCAATCATTTCACTTCGTGATATTGAAGGAAACAAAAATTTTGCCTTGGGGAAAAGTTTCTTATTGCAATGCAATACCTGATAGATAACGAACAGTTGTTTAGCGTTTTAAAAAATTCCTACTAAAGCTTTGAAAGTTTAAGTGAAGTAAACTCAAATTTTTAGTTGCACAGTTTGCTTTTATTTGGCGTTAACTTAACATTTTGGATTAGTTGGCATTGTAAAAATTTTTCAGGTTACAATTTGGATCATAAAATTTTGTAAAGTTTGTGTTTTACTTGCAATTTGAAGGTAAAATGAAAACTACAGGTTTTAGGTAGGCTTTTTGTACTTTATTAAAATAATACAGTATTTTATACGCATACTTTTTTTAATAATAAAAGTGCTCTAAAATATTATTAAAAACACAGAGTTATGTAAATTTAACGAAATTTTTTACAATAATTAAAATAACAAAATTTTAAACCGTTATATAGAGCTATAAAAAATGTAATTATACAACATGATTTTCAATTTCAATTTTAATTAAATTTCTGTTAAATTTAGACAAAGTCTAAAAACAAACTTCTTTTTTTTAACTGCAGGTCTAAGCACCAAGCAGGCCTAATAATGCCTTTTTGTAATCTCCCGATGTTTCACTCTAAAAATATTCAAAATTTATTATTTTATTGTTTTTTGCACACACTTCATACTAAGTACTTTTTTTATTATTATTGTTCTTATAGTTTGATTTTAAGAAATATTTCAATTTTTCTCATGCGTACATACATAAAAATATTATTTATTATAAGTAATGTATTAATAATATATTCTAAAAATAAATATAATCTTATTTAACATAAGCAAACTAATATCGGCGCGGAAATGGAAAATATAACGTACATGCATATGTGAATTGTTTTCGCACGTATTTATGTACATATCTATGTATAAACAAATCTGTGTTGCTCACGGTATGAAATATAAAGCATTTGTTTCTATTATTAATGCAAGTAAATCATAATTGAAACCCCGCAAGTAAATCATAATTAATGGAAGTATACCATAATTAAAATCTTTTAAATAAACATATCAATTTTTTACACATAAATATTTTACCACTTCTTTAAATTAGAATAATCCGTATAAAAGCTTCCTTCTACGAGGCAACTAATCAATGATTTCTCAAAAGTAATCAAAATAATGTGCATATGCATGTAGGTGCACAATCTTACGGATATCATAATTCTACAAATTTATTTCGTAAATAAAATTACCTTTACAGCACTTGATAACGTCCGGTTGTACATTCGTTCAAATTCATCTTTTATACTTTCTAAATCTATTTCAGAACGACTCACGATAATGCGAATCAAGGTTGAATCATCCGTACCCATACCATCCATTGCTTTAAATAGTTGTTTGGCAAAATATGCTGGTAAAGATTGTGTACATTCAACTTCAAAATAAAAGTAATTAATTTTAATTGTATAATTGCATTAGTTTTAAAAATACCAATAGCTATTAATGCATCATGTAGGTTTCCACTGAATTCATGCTTAATTGCTTGTTCTATCGTCATTCCAGATAATGTTTTATATTCATCAAAAACTAATGATAATTGTGCAAAACTTGAATGTGCCATAATACGATTAAAAACATGTTCATCAGTTCCCAACTTTGCCTCTCCAGCAGCATACAATGCCTGTGCATCATCGTTGGCTTGATCTGGATCAACCGTTCCAACTGGATCTCGAGTTCCAGTAACTATTAATGTAATAAGACGACTAAATTTTCCAGATATTTCCCTACATAAATGTTCTACTAGTGGCCGATCATATAAAGATTCATATGTAGAAACTATTTCATTGATTTCTTCACTTGGCCGACTACATAATATTTCAATGATAGCATTTTCATTCGTACCCATTCCTTCCATAGATCGGTGAAGTTCTTTACACAAGTATTCAATTGGTGGAGACATAAGTGCTAAAATTACTCTTTCGAAATTTCCACCTAATTCACTTTTCAAGTCTTCAATTAAATCTCGTTCAAGTTCTTTTTCAAATGCTTCTTTAATTTGTTGACGTTGTGCATTAGAACGCGAAGTTATAAGTTCAATAATAGCCTTTTCATCTGTTCCAAAACCCTTCATAGCAGCACGTAATGTTGCTGCATCTTCAGAAGCATCAAAATTTTCTGCTGGGAAAACGCAGGGCCTTTGCTAAAAATCATAGATAACTTTAATAATGTTACAAACAAAAATTTTTTGTTTTTCTTCACCTCGCAGCTCATGATTATTTTTTTTTATTATTTTTACTTGCAATAATAATTTCCCTTTGAGTATACCAAATACCTACCACACAATACGATTTTCAAATCGATACTAAAAGCGAACAAGAAAATAAACATCACGGTTTCGATATACATATCGTACAATACATAGATATAGCACATATAAATTGAATTAATGAAACTCGTAACGGTATCTATGTGTTAATTTTTGAGTGTATTTATGCATTGTAATTGTATTGCTCATTTAAAATTCTTTAAGATGCTAAGTATTTACTATATTATTAAATTTTTAATTTAGTTTCTTTAAAGATTTTAAAGAAAGTAATTGATGTTGATTAATTGGGCTTAGCTTGTATTCATTAAGTTTTGCAAGTTCTTATTATCAACTTTTTTGTTACTCTTGTTATATACCTATGTATCTCTTGGGATATCGGAATATTCAGATATTGATTCATTTACATAAATATTTTGAATTCTGTTTTATGACGTTTTATCTTGCGGTAAAGAAAGGGTTTAAGTTAAATACCCATAACTTTTAGGCAAGTATACCCATAGCTTAGATCACATCTGTATTTGATTTTCACAGCTGGCCAATATTTTCAGGTTCTACCTACTGTAGAAAAAAGCACAACCATAATAAAAGGAAATTGGTTTTTCATTCTAATTTCGATTGCGTAAATTAATAAAATTTCTGTTTATATTTGACATATATGTAGACATGTATGTAAATGGTATTGTATTCATTTAGTTAACAGAAGTTTTAATTTTTTTTTTAAACAATGGTATACTTTTTTTTAAATGAAACGTCAATTTCAATAAAAAGCAATAATTTAAGGAAATTTAAAGATAAAAAGGAACTACTTTATAACTAAGGAATCTAACATTACTCTATACACATTGCTATAAAAGACAATTTTACGCTGTCCTTCGAAATTGTGAACTTATCGCTTATTAAATACAACAACAGAAAAAAGTGATTGGAAATTAATTGAAAAAGAAAAAACAATCTACCTAGGTACATGACGATTTGTCTTGAAATCAGGTTAAAAGAAACTGCTTCTCGAAGTTTTCTTTCAGTTAAAAAAAATTAAAATTTCATTACGTCATTTATTAATATTTGCTTTGTGTATGTATGTGCATAATATTAAGTCTACAATACTTGTTGGGCAATATTTTTCCACTTGTATTTATTCTTTTTTGTATTATTTCTTTTTGTTTCAAGTTTCATTGTATGTAGCTGGGTAAATATATGTAGGTTAAGTAGCATTTAAATTTTTTAAAAATGTATGTGATAAGTACCCAACTTAATTATAAATATATACAGTAAAATGGTAACATTAAAGTACTATTTACGCTAGTAAAGCAACAGAAATGTAGAATAACTTTGAATATGCTATGTAAAATAATATAATAAAAAATTTGTTTTCTAATTTTTAAACTTCAATAAATATTTATTTTTCATTCAATCTTAAAATAAATGCTTTTATTATATTAACATAAAAAATTATATTTATATGTGCAACAATAAATATGAATTTAAAAAAATAGGTATAAAAATTTTGACAATAAGAATAATTTTCCATTTATTCAAATAAGTGCTTTTTTTGAAATACCTATAATGTTTCAACAAAAAATTGATATTTCAAAGAATTGAGTCTTATTTAAAATTTTATTGAAAAATTTATGATAGAAATAAAATATTAAAAAAAATTTGCTCAATGTTTGTAAAGAGAACATGGATGAATGTAAATAATTTAAATATAAATATCCAAAATATAAAAATTTCTATATAATATTATACCAAATACTCATATAATTTATACACTCATAATTAAGAGCCCTTCCTATATTTTTTAAATTATTTTTCAGAATAAAACCAGCACTTAATACAAAAACTGAAATTCAATTGAAAATACTTGCATATTTGTAAAAGGCATTTATACATTAAGAAAATAACATAACATACAACTTTCTTTTTGTATTACAACACATAATGGATGAAACGGAAAAAACTGAATTTCTTTTTAATTTTTTATTATTAATTCATCATAATTTTATTATTTCCATATTTTGTTTTTAAAACTACAAGGCATATCAGCAAAATACATACATATGTGAATAAATTTGAAAAATTTTATTTTTTTTGTAGTTATTCTGTTTATGAATGAAGTATTTTATTTTTCAAAGATCGTAAATTGATATAATGATTGTTTTGAACACAATTCAATAAAGTTAATCAAACAATAGCAATTGTAATATTTAAGATAACATAATATGACCATAAAATAAATAATAATCATTTACAATATGTACACATAAATTTCTTGTACACCTTGTGCGAATTGCATTTCTAGTTTTTATTTTAACCAAGCGTATAATCAAATTTTTTTATTTTTTTCAATGCACATGAATTGAAGTAAAAAAACCTAAATTTTTCATATTTTTGCTCAGACATAAACGAAAATATTAATTTTTCATATTTTAAGTAAATTGATATACATATGTATGTATGTATGTATGTAAGTATTATACGGAAAAAGTTGTTTCAGAAATTCTTGAAGCGTAATGAAGAACAATGTACGAGTTCCTTAATTTTATTTTAACAACATTTTCGCTATATCTTGTAATACAAAAATATTTTGCGACGTGTGAACATTACTGACCCTACAGTGTTTACCAATTACTTAAACATGTACATACATATATATTATAATATATTTGAGTGTTTATCAATCTTTGTATAGCTTATTTCACTTAAAAGCAAAAAACAATAAAATACATTTAATTTTAAATACTAATATTATCTATAAACTATGTTGCTAATTTTGATTTTCTACTTGCATTATCTTAAATTCCTTCTTCATTTGAGTAAATTCAAAAATGTATGTATGTATGTATATATACATAATACTAAAACAAAAGGCCACTAAAATACTTTATTGCACGTTGAAATTGTTATTGTTTCTTTAAACTTTAAGTAAAGCAACCAAAGCCTTTTTATAATCTCCAGATGTTTCATTCTGCAAAATATAAGAATTAAAAGAAATATTTTTAAATTAATAATGGTGTACATGAAATAAATAAAATTAATAACTAATATTACCTCCTATTATGTTAACGTTGAAATTTATATTATGTATTTATGTTTATACGATTTTCAGGAAAATATGGAAATATATAAATTTAATTAAATTTTTGATAAAATATGAATTCAAATTTTTAACATATTAGTAGGTGTTCAAATAAAATGCTAATTTATTTCTAAATAAAGTTATATGTATGTATGTATGTATGTTTTCAAATGTCTATTTATTAATCACTATATTTAAAATCAAGGCTATAATATGTTTGTTAATCAATAAAACGATTTAAAAAGAACTTTTGAATTAAATATGATACCATAATTTTAGGTTTACATATTTGCTTGTGTGCATTTATATGAACGTCAATTTACTAAGAATCTATTAAGCATCATACATACATACGTATATTTAAGCAAAACCATATAATTTTTGTACGACATGTAATTCAGTGATGATTCATATTTAAAATATTTCCATTAAATTAATTATTATGGCCTTGATAGTTTAGTGTTTAATTTTGTTATTACAATACATTGTATTTAAAAGCTAATCCATATTTAATCTTTGTATAATATTATTTGAAAAATATAAAATTTGAAGAGCGTCAGGATAAGAAATTGAAAAAAAAAAACAGGAATTTAAATATCCATGTACGTATGTAATCATTGCAAAATATAATTAGTTTAGTATATAATTATATTTTATGATTATTTAATATTCATCTTACAATATGTAAAGAAAGCAAAAAAGTAATTTAATTACCGCAATTGCGCTATACAAAGTTCGATTATAGATCCTTTCGAACTCGTCTTTTACACTGTCCAAATCAATCTCTGACCGACTAACAATTATTCGAATTAAAGCTGTATCAACTGTGCCCATCCCGTCCATAGCTTTATGTACTCGTTTAGCAAAATATGCAGGGGGTGATTGTGTGCATTCCACTACAAAATTTTAAATATATTTTCAGTATATATGTACATAATAATTATGAGTACTCATACTTTATGAAAATACTTTAACGAAAAATAAATTTTATATGTATATAAATAAAAATTACCAATTGCCATTAAAGCATCATGTAAATGCCCGCCGATCTCATGTTTAATAGCTTGTTCTATAGTCATACCAGATAAAGTTTTATATTCATCAAATACTAAAGCTAATTGTGCAAAACTTGAATGCGACATTATACGATTAAACGTTTCTTCATCTGTGCCCAATTTTTCTTCACCAGCTGCATACAACAATTCAGCATCTTCCTTAGCTTTTTCTGGATCAACAGTTCCAGCTGGATCACGAGTACCAGTTGCAATTAAAGTTATAAGTCGACTAAATTTTCCAGATATTTCACGACATAAATGCTCAACCAGTGGTCTATCATATAATGCTTCATAAGCTGAAACAATTTCTTTTATTTCCTCACTTGGCCGGCTACATAAAATTTCAATAATGGTATCTTCCTTAGTACCCATGCCTTCCATTGCATTATTCAATTCTTTACACATATACTCATTTGGTGGAGTCATAAGTGCTAAAATAACTTTTTCAAAGTTTCCTCCTAACTCACTTTTCAAATCTTCAATTAAATCCCGTTCATATTCTTTTTCAAATGCTTCTTTAATTTCTTGTCGTTGTGCGTTGGAACGTGAAGTTAAAAGTTCAATGATAGCTTCTTCATCGGTACCAAAACCTTTCATAGCACTTCGTAAAGTAGCTGCATCCTCAACAGCATTAAAGTTTTCTGCTGGTACGACACATGGTTTTTGCTAAAAAAATATATGTACATGTGTATATATGTAGATATATTTAAAAATATTTTTTTTTTAAATAATTTTTCGTGCATTAAATGTTAAACTTTTATACGCAAACGTATGTAGTACTTACCTCGCAACTCATTTTAACTATAATATGCACCTACCGCTTACTAGTATACATACAATGGAATTTACAAATCAATACTAAAACATCATCAGTCATCACTTCCAGTACAGCTGAAAGAATAAAATTCAAGTTATTATACAAAATATTTTATTACACTATGAAGCTATGTATATAATATACTTATATGTGTATGTAGTTATTTTTTTGTTATATGTATACCATTATTTTAAAACGATATCTAAACACACACGAATTACACTCAACACCTTTTTAAAGGTAAGCTTTCTGTATGAATAAGAATTTTTCTTTTAAAAATTTAACAGTCATGAGTAAAATTTTAATTTTAGTTTTATTGCTACTTTTAATTAAAAATGCGACATGAAAAGAAAGTTAGAAGAACGAAATACAATTACATATATTTTATGAAGTACAAATGCAATAACAAAAAGGTTTTTTAGCTTATTAACAATTATGTACATTATGTATGGGTATAAGTTGTACATATTACGTATTTGGATTAATGGTAAAGAGAAAATAGCCAAATTCTATGGATTCTATATTAAAAATTAAATAAAGATTTGATTACAGGATCGTAGCTCGACTCAATATTTTAATACAGTTTCCGACTTTTATATCTAGTATATACCTTAGTTTTCTATTAATTAGTACCGAGGTTTAATATTTGATCGAATATAAGAGGATAAATAATTGGCAAAGACAAATAATGGTGCTTTCATTCATGTTCTTAGGAAGTTAAAAAGATTTCATTCATGTTTTTGACACCTCCTATAAAATAAAATTTCTTTATTGTATTTGTTTTTAGAAAATTTTAAAATGCAACGCAGTCAATATGAATTTTGCAATTTTTGTAAGCAAAACGTTTGAAAATTTTTAAATATACATACATACATACATACATACATATGTACAGTGTACGTCTTTTTATACACATTTTCTTACGTTTCCTTTAAAATTTTTAATAAAATTCTCTTTCACATAAGTATGTGCATACTCCCCTCATTCTGCTCATAAGCAATTTAAAAATTTTATAAAAGAAATTAAAAACATATTTAATCGAAATTATTATTAATTTTTAAAATTACATCATTGTAATTCCGAGAGAATTTTTGAAATGGTTTCCTAAAATTTCAAACTTTAGTTTTTAAATTATTATCGAGTTCCAAAATTATTTATTATTCCAATTCCAAAACAATAAAATCGTCTATTAAAGAAATAAGAAAAAATTGTATACATACATATATACATATGTACGTAGCATATATTACTTATTAATTTATTGTAAGCACATAATAATAAGTAAGAACACGTGAGAAACGAAACACAAATTAAATAAATGAGAAATAACAAAAAATATAAGTATTTTATAAGGATGTTCTCAAAATGTGATAAAAATCTCCAAACTAATAGAACAAAAATTGATACATCACCTAACCATCCTTAAACAAACAGTGACAAATCTTAAACCGCAATCGAATATAATTTACTCCTAAAAAGACTACGCAAAAAATTAAATTTGCGTTATGTATTTTTTACACGTCACGTACTGAACAAAATATTTTTTTATAAGTACATACTTTCATATTGCATTATTTTTCGAGTATAATTTTTCTGCAATTGGCAACGCCATGATTTGACAATTAAAAAGCCATTGTGAATTTTCACTTGATTGACTTTTCCTGAAAACACATACAAAGTGTATAATCAAATGATTTTAGAAATACTTGATTTATTAATTCAATTTCTTGGATTAGAATTCTTAAAAACATTCGTAGATCGAATAAGTGCTTATATTACTCAGGCCGTTAGTGAAATAATTATTTTTGTGAACATAAATTTTAATAATTATTTTTCTCGTAGATATTTTATATCAAAGCGAAAATTTCGTAATTGATAAAAACTCAGACTTGTTGGTAAACACTGATGATCGAAAAAGAAAGGTACATTTGTGCAATATTTATTTATATAATAAACTATGCACCTACATACTTAATAATCGTGAAAAATATACATAAATAGGTGCTAAATTTTGAAAACTCATAAATTATTAATTTTAGATCACCATACACGCTGGATTATTGACATTTTGTCATTAGCATAAATACATAAAAAATATTCTATAGAAAACAAAGATTAACAAGAAATAAAATTATATGAAATACGCAGTAGTGTAATATTACATAGAAAACAAATTCTGGGTTACTTGATAAAAGAACTGTAAAAAAATACGTCAAAAGTTCTAATAATACATTTTCAATACAGGACCTAAGCTGTCAAATAAAATTTCTAGTTTTTTGTTGATGTAAATCATGGTGGAGCCGATTTTTGATTATCAATTTCGTCTTATTTTGATCGGAGATTCGACCGTAGGAAAATCATCATTGTTAAAATTTTTCACTGATGGAAAGTTTGCAGAGTTATCGGATCCTACTGTTGGAGTAGATTTTTTTGCCAGATTAATTGAAATGAAAGATGGCACTCGAGTTAAATTGCAACTTTGGGATACAGCCGGACAGGAACGTTTCCGTTCAATTACAAAGTCTTATTATCGTAATTCTGTTGGTGTCTTATTAGTTTATGATATCACAAATCATGCAAGTTTTGAGCATATACCAGTATGGATGATGGAAGCACAAAGACACATTGAACCGCATCGTCCAGTTTTTGCGCTAGTTGGAGCAAAACTGGATCTAGTCAACAATATGGGTGGTAGGCGTGAAGTTACAACTGAAGAAGCTCAAGCATTTTCTAAACAGCATGATTTACATTTTGTAGAAACTTCAGCTCGCACTGGGGTAAATGTTGAAGAAGCATTTAGAATGGTTAGCCAGGAAATATATGCAAGAATAAAAAGTGGTGAATATAAAGTAGAAGATGGATGGGATGGTATTAAAACAGGTTTTACAAGACCAAATAACCTTGATTTTAATTTAGTTGTTGCTGAACCTGAACAATCCTCCTGTTGTTGATTTTGTTAATTTTTTAATTAAAAAATTTAGTTTCTTTTTTTTATAATTTGTATATTTTATTAACACTAAACAAAAGCGTTTTGTGTTCTTTTAAATAAATTATTCTGGAGATGATATTAAATTAGGTTAGACTGACACAATGATTAAGTAAATCGAAAAGAAAAAAAACATAATATTAAGAGATAAGAGTAGAATCTAATAAAAACAGCTTGGAAATAAATTTTCAACTATTTGATTATACATACATACATATAAAAAATTTTGACTAATTTAAATTTTTTACAACTTTTGTAATGTTTTTATATGTTTTTATGTTTTTTATTTGAAAAAAGAACAAAGAATTTTTAAACTTAAATTAAATTTTTCCCATCTTTTCTGATTTAACTTAGTAGAAAACTAAATCTATTTGTATACTTTTTATAAAAGAAAATCTGCTGCAGTGGAATAAATTAAAGATAATTTTAATGTTTACGCAAAAACTAGTTAAATTATATTAATTTTAACGGTCATGTTTAATATTGAACGAATTTTCTATGCTGCTATAATAATGAACGGAATTTAAAATTAAAACGTCTACACAAAATATTCAAAAATTTTTGTTGAAGACTTTATTTAAATAAACTTAAAAAATTACAGTTTTTCAAATGGTTTCGTTTAAAATATTTTAATTAATTTAATTTGCAAAAAAAAAATTAGAAAGGTATTTTAACAATCGTACAACTTATTGAAAAAACGTTACAAGTGACTGTTTAATACATTAATAAATTGCAACTTTTTAAAAATATTACACTTCTGCAGGTTTTTGTTTTTAAATTTACAAATGTTGCCAAAACTTAATATTATATTGCTATAAACTAAATTTGATTAAGTAGATTTTGATTCATTTTTTATGTTTAAATATTAACATAAATTTACTTTTAAAATCTTTACAACAAAAAATCAAAAAATTTGATGGTATAGTTAGTTACCTTAGAACCAAAGAAAAAACTTTGTATTACTCACGTAAAGTTAAAATAAAAAAAAAACGAATTATAAATTAATAATGTAACTTTTGTATTTAATTCAATTTAAAAATTAATTAGGCACGATTATATAATGAATATATATTTGCAACCTGTAAAATAGTTGTATAAAATTTATCAAATATTTAAATATTTGTCTACCAGATTGGCTGAAATTAAGATAAGAGTTAGTAACTTAAATTTCTTAATCAAATAAATTCAATTACGAAAAAAAAAACAATAAATATAGCAAGTTAAAGATATGATGATAATTGTTTTATTTATTATGCATTTCAATTTAGCGTTTTTAAAGAAAATCCCAAAAGTCGAAATAATGTAAAATCTCTATAAGGCTAAAAATAATAGAATATCTTTTATAACTTTTTTTTTATTATAAGATATTTTAAATTTTTCCAAAAACTGAATTAACTTTTAAAATTAGGTTTTTTATTTTTACATAAAGTTACTTTAATATATTAAAAATATTTTTAGCAGATTTTTCATCATGTACTTTAGGATTAGATTTACAAAAATCAAAAAACATTTCTGATCAAACTACAAAAAATTATAATCAAATTACTAAATACAAGTTCTTAAAACTATTAAATGCTTTCAAGCTAAAATTAATTTATTGAATAATTGAAACTTCGAGCCCTGGAACGTATAAAAATTTTGAGTATATAAAGTACATATAATGCACAAACCATAAATATAAACATATAATGCATAAATATGTACATATGTATATATATTTCAAAAACCATAAGCTAAATAAATTAAATTATACAACATACAAAAATTATTTTCATATCACTGTCAGTTGCTTAATTATCTTTTTAAGAGTTCCCTACAACAAAAACATCAAGTCAAAAAAAAAGTTCAAAACTACTTTTATAGTTTCATACTTACTTCTTTTTAAAGCCAAACATACTTAAACGTGTTTGTGAATTAGTGTCCGCAACTCCATTCATTTTATTAGTCGATTTTTTTCGAGGCAGTCCCAATCGAGGAATCTTAAAGTAAAAATATCAAATGAAAATGATATAAATTAAATACATTTAATACAAGAACGATAAATATTTTTTTTTATTGTAAGGAACTTACAATTCTTTTAGTCTTTGATTTTAAATCAAGTTCTGAATCTGATATTTCAATAATATCCGTGTCAGTGGTGACAATTTTTTTGTTATTGAACTCGAATTCTTCCATTGAAACATACATGTTTTGAGTTTTTTCAAAATCTTTTGAAATTTCGTCAACTTCAGTGTGAGAATTATCTTCTACTAAATCTAATGTTTCAAAATTTTCATTGCTGTTCCCTTCTTCGGGAGATATTCCCTCTTTTCTGGATTGTTTAGCAATTAGACTAAACCCACTTTCTTCTTGATTATCTTCGGATTTATTTAATTTTTGTACTAGTAAAGCATTTGAAGTGAAAAACCTACTTTTAATTTCTTTTGAGTCATTGATCACAGTACGCTCAAATTTACTTAAGCGTTCTAATTTACGCAGTCTTGGTAATGTATCGGGATCAGAGGAGTTAGTTACATTGTTTTCTTCGCAAGAATGAGATAATGACTTTGCAAATGGATTACGATTGCTTTGTATCATAATAGGAAAATTTTCTAGTTTATCTGGAGATTCAGAACTTCTACTTTTTTTTAGCGGCGGACTATGCATGGAATACAAAGATGCTATGTGGCATTCATCCTGACTAAAAAATATTACAAAAATCACATATCGATCATTTTTTTAAAAATAACTTAAATGTTGAACTTGCTGAAGGTAAAATTCCATAACTCTAAATAAAAACTTTCTTTGAAAGTTGAGTTCATTTAGAGTATTAATATTCATTCTGAATCAAAGAGATTTCTTCAACAAATTAAAACTTGGAAATTGCTATTTTGAAAATTTGCATTATTTTTTACTTACTTATTATCCCCTAGTTCTCCTGAATCATCAATGGAAGAATATTTAATTTTTCTAAAGGTGAATGCATTAATGCTGGTTTGTCTTTTTACATTGTGTGGTTTGAAATTCAAATCCCAAATACTTGGATGTTTTAACTTTGATGTTTGGTGTTTTGAGTCATTAACTGCAACCTAGAAAAAAATACATATATGCATATAATTAAATCAAACTAACCTAGTTGGAATATTTACTTGGGAATTATATCCAGAGTTTGGCTGCCAATCATCTACTTTATCAAGTGTAAATGGGTTTAAATTTCCCAGGGCTAAATTATAAGCTATTTCATCATCTAATAAAGATCCTGCGTTTGAACATAATACTTCAAAATTTTTCATATCCTTCGGTATTTCATTAAGTCGAACCATTTTTCGTTGAAAAGGATCATATACGTACATAAATTTAAATGTAGCTTCAGCTTTTAAGAATTCACTAATATAATCCTCGCTTACTACTAAATTTCTTAAATTTAAATGTCGCGGGAGCTTTTTTAAAGCACTTTCCATGTCGCTATCATCTATTCTTAAAACGAACTTACACGCTTTCGCTAGTCCTATCCCGGGCAGTGAATCTAAATAATCACAACCAGACAATATGCACATATTACGAAATTTATCGAATGAATAGTTTTCTGGTTTACATCCCATTGCCAAATGCAACTTTTCTGCATCAACCAATAAACAGTTACCAGTTAAATCTAGCTTGAAAATTATTCTACTGGCGCCAAAAAGGGTTAAGTCGGAATCTTCGGTTATAACATATTGAGCAACGTTTTTTCTATTCAAATAAGCTAATTGGGCATCTGCTTCATAAGGTGCAACTAAGCAATCTACGTTTCGTTTACGGCATTCTTTCATTAACTCAATTACCATATCGTGTGTAATATCAATGCAACGCCTCATTTGAACCTTTGCTTCATCAATTTGTCCAAGTCTTAATAGTTCTGCTGCTCGTTTTTTGGCTTGATTTCGATTTTCACGTCTTCTGCTTTCTGTCAATGCCTTAGCGGGTAAATGTCTACCATCGAAAATCATAATTGGCTTAATATTTAGAGACAAAAGCATATTTACAAATTTCATACAGTACAAAATATGTCTAAAAACAAAAATAAATAACTTTCTGTTTAACATATTAACATTACAATAATATACATGTTCGTGCTTTCACCACGACTGAGCTTCTCGGCACATCCATATGCTCCTCTGTGGAGCCAACAATAGGTATCAATAGCTACAGTACATCCTTTTAAATCCTAAAATCATTTGTATTTTCTTTACATAAATAATATGTATCTTGTAATTCCAAATAAAATTCACCTTTATATTAATTTTTGTTGAAGCTTTTTCCAAAAACGGTATTAGCCCTGTAATACCCATTTCTTATATATACATATATTATTAAATTTTATATTAATCACCATTCACAAATTTTTCATATCTTTACCTTCCTTCTATTTACTTATAATCCCAAGTAAAAATCATCTAAGAACCGCCAAAATATTCATCTTTCAATGACATTTAATTAACCGCCTTTTTTCATCTTTTCTATATAATGAACTTTTTATTAAAGATAATTTTTAATTTTGGAAAGAGAACATAAAGATTTTGGAAAATTTGTTTAAAATAACTTGTTTTAATTTAATTTTTAATTCAATGTTACAAATTTTTTGCTATCAGATTAAAAAAATATTTTGATTTTTGACACTTTACAGTAAATTTTACAAATTTAATGCCTGAATAGTAAATAATAGACGTATTAAGAATAGACAAGACTGGCACTTAAATTAAATCTAAAAATATTACACCTATCAATTTTCTACATAGAAATAATCTAAGACTGATTGAAAATTTTGTGTAAATAGAATTCAAATTATAAAATTTTAAAATTGAATAATATAAAATAAACCAAATAAAAATGAAAATAACTCAAATATCGGTGAACTGACAAACCTACTCCTAACAATTTGATCTCTAGAATGATCAGGGTAATCTTTATCGATTATTCTTTAACAATACGATATAGCGGAAGTTAAGCAGTCACAAGATGAAAAGTATCATGGAAAAGTAATTAAAAAATTATTTCTTTTAATTTTAAAAATTTCATAACTAATTTTAAGTTCACTAATTTTACTAAAACAATTGTCAAAATCATATAAGAAAATATAATATTATCAACTTAATAGGCAATTTATATCTAATCAATTAAATAAAGTTTATATTTAAATTACTTCTTATATCAAAAGGCATTAGCTATCTACCTACATTTAGCAATTCAAAAACAATTAAAAATTTTACTCCGTAAAAACTACAAATTATTCACTTCGCGATATACAAAGACGGGTTTATTGGGAAATATTGGATTATATGAAGTAATGCATAATTTGACATAAAGGGAGTGGAATAAAATCGCCATTTTTAAAAAGTAATAATATTTAAGCTATACGACAACACAGTTGCAAAAAGCAAACTTTAGTTTGACTTATAAATCATTTCAATTTTCAGTTGTTGTTCTTCTTTTTATTTTTGTTATTTGAAAAATTAAAAATTTTTGTGTGGTAAAGAAATTTGTGGCGGCTTTTTTAAAGATAATAAAAAATTATTTTTATTTCAAAAATATAACGCAGATTATATTAAATAATTTTAAATAACATTTTTTGTAATCATGGCTACAATATCGAAACAGACGTTGAAAAAAGAAATCAATGGTACGTACAGCATAGCATCATTCTATGATTTAATAGTGTAAAATTAAACAATTTGAAATAATTAAATTCCGAATTAAAGTGACTGTTTTATCTTTTTGAAGTAGTCATAAGATAATGCAAAAATATTTGTTGATTATAACAGCATTTTTAAATGCTTTACGGATTTCAGTAAATGTAAATCTTAAAATAATTGCATAAAACATAACCTTAACTTGAACAAAAAATATTTTCGAATAATAGAGATTTACATACACATGAATTTACTGTGTAGATCATTTCTATTTCTGGAATATTGATATTACAGTTTTAAGAGAAACAAGTTTCCGAAAATATTCTTCCTGAAAGACAAAATGTTATTTAAATTAAACTAGTTTAATAAGTTAATTATTATATTTGTTTTATGTTTTTAATTGTAGATATTTTAAAAGACGCTGATTTGAGTGTTCTTTCTGCAAAAAAAGTACGCTTACAACTACAAGCAAAACTAGGATGTGATTTGATAAGTCGAAAAGATGAAATTGATAGTATCGTAATGGACTTTGTCAATTCGGAAGCAAAATCAGAAGGTGAAGAGGAAAATTCAGAAGAAGAAGAAGAAGTGAAGTCCCCTGTTAAAAGAAAGGCCCCACCCGCAAAGAAAGCAGCAAAAAAGAAGAAAACCAATGGTAGTGAAAGTGACAATGATGATGATGATGATGGATCTGCCGAAGAATATAGCCCTAAAAAGACAAGAGGAGGAGGTGGAAGTAGAAAGAAAGCTGGTAATGGCGAAACAAAAAAAGTAAGTTGCCTAAAAAATATTACTATATACATATTTTAGTTGTTTTTTTTTATATGTTTGTGCAATTAGGGAGCCTCAAAAGGAAAAGGTAAAGGAACAGGGTTTACTAGAGCATATAAATTATCACCAGAACTTGCTTCATTTATGGGAGCGGAGGAAATGCCTCGGCATGAAGTTGTGAAGAAAATGTGGGCCGTTATCAAAGAACGAAATCTGTACGATCCTAAAAATAAACAATACGCTATTTGTGATGAAGATTTACATAAAATTATGGGCGTAAAAAAATTCCGTACCTTTGGTATGTTGAAGTACCTAAAACCACATTTCCTTAATTAATACCGCTAGTGAACAATAAAATGCTTTTCTGTTTTTAAGAATTGCAAAGAAAATTTAATTCTTTATTTTAAAATGAAGTTAATAAATGTTTTTTTTTAAAATATACGACATAAATGTTGAACCATGTTTTATCTCAATCACTATTTTTAAAAGAATCAATAAATATAGAAGGTTTTTTTTTCAAAAATACATGTATAATGTAAGTAAGTTTAAGATTTACATTTAAATGTATGTATTGACATAAGGATGACTAAAAATAAAATTTGAAGCATTTGAAGTGTTGTTTTTATTGTTTTGTGCCTTATTGCAATTACATAAATGCAGTTTTGGCAATAATTCATATCATTTGATCGTTAAGTCCTTAAAAAATAACCTCATAAATACACAATTAGAAAAAGTTTATTATAAATAATAAATACAATTTGTTAAATACGCCTTTTTTGTGTTGATATATATAAAACATTATTTCCGCGTATAAATGCATCTCCATATTTATTTTTTAGCTGTCCATTTACATATTCCTCTGTCTGATCCAAGGCAATATTCATGTAGCCATCTAAACAAGCTAGAACACCTCGGTAATCCACGCCACTGTTAAGTTTAACCACTACGGGTCTGCCATGAATTTGATTAATAAATTGAGACAATGCTTCTTTCCTCGACATTTTACCGTTTTATAACACTCACGCAGATAAATATATTCTGACTTTTTGGGTATATAAACTTATTATTATTGATGAATTGATGTATGTACTTTTATTCTATTTACGTGAACAGCTCTTTAGGTAAATACTGAAAGTGAATTTGTTTGTACATTGAGTTGAAATGACATTTGTTGAGTACCAAACACCTAAACAGCAGTGACATTAGAATTGTCATTTAGAAAAATGTCATTACAAATTAGTGATGGTAAGAAACATGAAAATTAACCAAGCTTCAATAACATTGCAGTATCGATGTATCGATATCGAATGATGGAAAAATATGTGTATACATTGTAAAATTAAACTATAATTATTATTTTTATCTCAAAAAATTGGATTAGGTTAAACTTAAGGTAAACTTAGCATTATGCAAGTACTACGTTTACCTTAATATTATATTGATGAAATGATGAAAAAATGAGATGACATGCTTAGGTTACTTTAAAATTTTATTTTATTTTCAAAATATGAATTATGTACATTTTATTCTCTAGTGCTTGTTGTAATACTTTTTTTAGTTTGTGTGGATTTCTCTTCTTTATCCAAATTAGTTTGTAAGGTCGTAGATCATTTATAATATGACATGTCAGTTTGTGTTGAATTTGTAACACAATTACTTAGCCTATGCATTGTAAGGCACCGTCTTCTTATTTCCCATAAACTATGAGTGTAATTTTTTTTTAAGTAACATGGGACTGGATGTAGTTCTGTTTGAATTTCGACAGATTTTTGAAATTGATTATCGGTAGCTATATCTACTTTAGCCATATCTGGTAAGAAATTATATTCTTTTATATCGTTATATAATCCTAAATAAACTATTAGTTGAACATTTCGCCTAACGGTTTCCATAAACTTATTTTCAAATTTTCGTACATTAGTAGCAAAAATTCTTGCATACTTTATGTGACTAAATGCATATAATCGATCTTGATATTTTAAAACACCAATATTTATTGCCGACGGTATTAACACTCCATTGCTAATGCAAAATATGTATGCACAAAATTGAAGTATAGGACATCGTTTCTAAAAAATGTTAAATTTTAAATATTTTACAAATAAAGTGTGTATGCATGTTGAAATCTCAAAAAAAATATTATTTCGTATAGCACAGCAGTAAATTCTAATGAAAAGCTACTTTTATTTTGAACAGTAAACAGAGATTCAATATTAAAAATAATTAAAGGATAACACTTAAAAAAATAAATGAAATTAAGAACTTAAAGATTCGAAAATGTGTTGATAAAAACTTTATTTTTATCTTATTTGCCTAAATATTTTACTAACTTACCGCTTCAGTTTCGGGAAAGTGATCTATCCATTCGAATTCATCTGTTGGAACGATTTTTGAATGGTCCTCTTGAAATTTCACTAAAAGAGTTTTCGTTGTTTGATCTTTCATTTTCTTTAATAAAGTTTCGTAATTTTTCGTTGTGGCAATTTCATTAAGTTTTTCATTTAATCTATTAATTTCAACCATAAAATATAAATAATTCCAAAGGTTTTGCCAAATATCGGCTAATTCTGAAAAATATGGCTAAAAGCGTGTGGAAATTTATGTACAAACCTAAGCACATAGCTATAAAAAATATTTAACTTACAAAAACCATTTCTGTGGGCACAGCAACACGATATTGTACAGATTCATGTAATTGCTTGAGGGTTGACCGAAATTGTTTAAAATAATCATCTATCTCTTTTCTTATCATTGATATAATTAAAGCCAATTTCTTTATATAAAATTCGTGCTGAATTAGTAAGATCAACATTTCTTTAAATTCGTTAATTAACTTTTCATCTTCAACACTAAATGTAATTGTGTCGGAATTAAAGTCTATGGTGTACGAATTTTGTATAGTTTGATTACATTCAAACACTTGCTTCGATGCACGCTGCAATGATTCGTTAATTGCGCTCCTGGTGTTTTTAAAAGCCATGCTAACATCATTTATTACTAAACGATAACAATAAAATAGTAGAGAGGAATATATAAAAATAAGTTCAAAATTATAACATAAGTTTTCGTTTAAAATGATTTCATTAAATTTTTTTTAAATTGGCAACAATAATTTTACAATTATGATTTTTAATATGTAATATGCATGTGTATATATATGTATATGCAAATAAATATATATGTATTATAATATACGAAGAAAATAAATTTAAAAATTAAAACAATTAGATCTGTTAAATTATGTAACTATATAAATGATGTAACTTATCATCATTAAATTAATGTACCACATATACATATGCACATATGTATTTATCATATGCGTTGTGTTGTGCTATCAGTTTATATATGTATATACTTAATAAGCAAGAACAAAATTATATGTATGTGTATATATTATGTAATTTGTATTAAGATGACTTACTATTTCGCATATCATGTCCACACTCTCCAGCATCTTGATTAAAAATCATAATTCCGCATACAATTTTACGCATTTCTGTTAATGTGTCTGTTCTACGTTTTCTTTTCATACTAGCAAATTCTAGTAAATCTTGTCTTGTCATAACGCTCTTAAGTGCATTTGTAACTTCTTTCACAATCTAAATAATAGTGTTTATGTGTAATAAATAGAGTTAAGTATTTAAAAATAATCTATACAATATTGTTGTATAATTTATATATTCGTTGTATATATATCTATACATTTTATTATGTCAACATATTTGTGTCGCAAAAGTACATTGATGCAGTTTTTTTTAATTCTAGCAATCATTTTTTTTAATTTCTAAACTAAATTGGATAATCTTTAATTGCAACCTCGTAGTACCTAATAAGATTTACACAATTCAACTTATAAGTTGTGATTGCTGTACACTTTTAACTGTGCTACAACTGAAATATGGTCATTTAAATGTTGATATTGTTTCTATTTTAGGATCGAAATTGGACATGTTGTTGTCAGCGCAACGGTTGAATTCTTTGATCAGCCCTTCAAGTATCGTGTATTTTAAATATAAATTTTAATGTGATGTGGTAAATAATAATATTATATGTAATATACGTGATGTATTTTACTTTCAAATTAATGCTAATTACATATTATATTGTGCGTATAATTCAAAAAGTAAATTACCTACCACAGGATTTGCAGGATTTCCAAGCTTATTACTTATAATAATATCATATAAAATTTTTTTAAATAAACTATCATAATCTTCTTTTGTTAACGGTTCAAAGTCAACAATTTCGTTGAATAATGTGTCAACTTTCATTAAAAGGGCTTCACTTAGAACACTTCTTCCAGTATAAGATTTGACATCAAAATTTGTTTCAAGAAAATTATGCTGTAGTGCAAACGTTTTAATGAAAGGCGATTCATTATCTATAAAAGAAAGTAGTATGTATATACTTAATGTAAATGAATTTATTATATTAAATTAAATTATACAACTTAATTAATTTGAATTATTCACCAATAATTTTTTTAACACAATAATCAACAAATGATTGAACAGTTTCTTTATCACTTTCAAATGTAATATTTTGCTCTGGATCCAACAGAAATATTAAACTGCTATATTGTACTAATTCTAATGTAGGTTTATAATTAACTCTACTACATTCTCTCATAATTTCTGAAACAATATTTTTAAATAAATTTCCATGATTTTCAATTAATTCTCTTAATACGAATTTCATTATTTTAGTTTTGAAATTATTAAATTTATGTATGTGTTAAGTTTATTAGTTTAGAAAATTTTTCTGAAAAATAGATATTTTTTTTTAACGTATTGATTTAACTTTATGTTTGGTTGCTGGGATATTGAAAATTTCTTTGATTTAGAAATTTTTTCATAAGTATGTATGTATATATTTAAGGTTTTCGTGAACTAAATAAAACATTAAACTTTGGTTGTAGTCTACCCTTATTTGTAAAGAATAAAAAAAACGAAGAGGGATACACTTAATTTAAAGAATTTTTCTTGTTTGTTACAAAACACGCTTAAACGCTTAATAAATGTCTTGTATCAGTAGAGTTTTTTGAGTTACATATAACATTTATTATGCAGTTAATATACTATAATAACCGTATATCATAATCTCGAGCTTACATTTCATCGGACAACTTTCGTCGACTTTAAGTTTTGTTTTCAAAATTATTTAAAAAACTGAAATTATAAAGTTATAAGAAAACTTCGAAATAATTTATGAAATTTATTTTGTGTATGTATTATAACAGTTGTACAAATTTTGTTATAAGAAAAAAACACAATAAGATTTTGTTATTTCAAATAATAATGTCGAATAATATGTGGATATAATAACACTGTTGGGATAAAATAAATTAAATATCTTTGGCTTCTCATATGTAGTAATACAGTATTAATACTCTTTTTCCTTATCCCTCCCCCTACTGTAAAAGTTGGAGCCCCTTAAAGACCTAAAAATTTACAACATAGCATAATTCAGTATAGAAATGAAAAATGGCTGATCAAATTAAAATACACTTTTTGTTTTTACAAAACAGTAAGAGTTGCTCCTTTTTTTTGTCAAACGAGTAGAATTGCTGGATTTTTTTTGTCAAACTCTAATTATGTGATTTTAAGCGAGCGAAATTGAATAAAATTAAAAATTTTGGTGTTGAGAATTGCGTGATTTTAAGATAGTTTCTATTAAGCAAGTTCGAATATGCGTAAAAGTATATGGAGATTTTCCTTGTTAAAAATTTTGTGAATATAATTGAGATTATAATGATGATATTAAACTAGATAAATTAAAATATAAGAGAATGTTTTTAAGAGCACTATTTTCATTTGTAGAAGGAAAAAGTGCTATTTTACAAACCGTTGTTCTGACCCAATTTTATCATTTAAAGCTATAGAGATGTTTTAGTTGTTAAATTAACAAAAATAAATTAAAGACAAATGAATTTTTATTTGATATTTTATTCCATTCAGTTTTACACAAAAAAATGTTTATTTTTATTTAATAATTTTATTATTTATCCTGTTCTCTCTTTTTTTTTTTTTACTTTGCTGATATAAATAGGTATAACATTACACATTTTATCCTTACATAGTATTATATTAATATTTTTTTAACATATTCATATACATAAATTGTATATAATGTGCATATACATGTAAAATATTTTATATACTATTTATGTAGGTATTCGGTATATGTATATGACTGTATATCTTTCTTAATAATAATATATTATGTATTTTAATTTTTCTGTATATATGTATAAGTATTTATGTACATAATAATATATTATAATTATAGTAATCATATAGAAAATAATTACTACTAGTTTATAATTACAGGAAATAAAATGTTAATACATAACTTATTTTTCTTTATGTTTTTCTTTTTGTTTTACATGTATTTGTTTGTGCATTGTCCAGATGTTTTTGAATGCAAACAAAATTTTTATTTTTGATTTCTTACTTACTACAGTAAAGTCGGTGGGATTTGCGTTTTAGTTTTATTTTTTATGTACATTTCTTTTTTTTTTTGTCTTATATTGATAAAGCTAATCTTCTTTTAATTTTTTAACACACATAATGTTTTTATTTCAAATTTTAAGCGTATATTTGTTTTTTTTTTTGTGTTTAAATTATTCAATAAAAATAATCTTAAGCCTAGACACAACATGCATACAACATTTATAGTTTAATTTTTTTTGGGGGGATTAAGTTAATGCTTAAATATAAATAGGTTCATATTATGATATAAATATATATATAAATATACTATAGTATATACAGAACTAGATTTACCATTTCAGGAATCGCAGGCTAATAGATTTCATTGGGTGAGCAAGAATATGCACAGTCCGAAAAGTTGGCGTTAAAAATTTGTGGTTGTATAGTTAAATAGTACAAGTTTGAAGTAAAGTCTTCCGTTATAAATTTTTTCAAGAAAATATCGCTTTTGCTTATAAATGTAAAATTAAAACAAATCACTTACTTACAAACATATACAATTTATATAAGGAAATTCTATTCAAATCATAATGAACACTGTTAAGTTGCGTAATTAATCGAAAAATCATAATATTGTTCAAAAACTGAATGAGCTATTAAGAATTTATAAAATTTATCATTAATTTCAGTTAATTTTATTAAAATTTTATATGTATATATATATATTTGTTACTAAAAATAAGTGAATTATTGATTTTGTATTCCTTCCAATGGCTTAGTCTTAGACTGCAACTTGTTTAGTCCATTTGTAAATCCGGCACTGCTTATATATATAGGTATATAATTTTATTTTATATTAATTTGAATAATATTAGTTTTCCATAATATGTGTTATACTACAAATTATAGGTATGTATAAATTTATATTGAATGCATTTACAAATATTCCAAATTTTGTTTTTAATTTCAATTTTCTAATTGATTTTTATATAAATAAAATTCTATTAAAATATACATATATATATGTATTTATTTAATTTATTGTATACTTATTTATTTATATTTATATATATATAAACAAAAAAAATAAGAAAATAAAAATAATAGCAATTTGTTTTATTTAATAAATTTTTTAATTATTTTCTATTTAAATTTTATAATGGTGGTGGGTTAATTTTGTTACATACATTTCTATTACATGATGGGAAAGATTTTAGAACTATAGTTAATAATATTTTTTAGAATTATGTAAATTTTAATTGGTAAATTTGTTTTTTCTTAGTTGTTTTGCATATTATATAATATTTAATATGTTATTTTATTATTTCTACTTCGTTTTATATAATATCTAACTAAATTGTTATCTCCTTGTTTTATCTAGAACACTAAACTTAATATAATATGATTATTTTAATAGTTTTATGTCATAAGATCGAATTTTTTTTTCAATAGATTCGATTTAAAATTTTACATTAAAAATATTCAAAAATCAATATTATTAAAAATTTTATTTAATTTCTATAATATTTTCAAGTTTTTAAAAAGGAAAAGGTATATGAATGAAATATCTTAAAATTTTAAAAAATTTTGAAATTAAATTGTATATTTTGTTTAAAAATATTAATGGAATGCACCGGTATATCTAAAGACCAAATTGAGGCTTTATAGTATATTTACAATAGCATGTTTCTCCAGGATATTATGAGGACATTTAAACCTTTAAAATTGTAAAGAATTATTATACCTAATAATTAACATAAATTAGGAAAATTATTAAATACCAATTAAATTAGGAAAATTATTAAATACTGAAATGCATCCAAATTTCATAAGATTTTCATAATTATGCGATAAAAATTATTTTAAGGAAATCTCTATTAAAACATTATAATATAAGAGATTTATTTTGAAATCACCAGAATTTTAATTAAAATTTTAAGTGAATTTTAAGTCCTACATATGTATGTGCGAGTACTTGAAAAAGAAAAATAAAATAAAAATTTATTTTTTAATTTTATGTGTATATAGAGTTTTTGTTATGAATTTTTATTGAATTACCTAAATTATTCGACCTTTTGACATGCCACTATATTCTATAAAATCTTATGATAATTTTTGTAATTACAATAAGAATTGCAATGTGTATAAAGTATAATACAAACATATGTTATATATATGTACATATTATTATACCTTTAATATTATACTTTAAATTTATTTAATTTATTTATATGTTCTTTAATTGTACATGTACATATTCCATCTATATTTTATTAATAAGTTTTCCTTATTTTTTAATATTTGCCTCATGTTTTATTATGCTATCTTGTGTAGGTGATGGCTACATAATATTTATAATTATTTTTAATCTTTTGTAATATATATTTATAATAATGTACATATTGATTAAAATTTGGTTCGAGCTAGAATTGGTGGTTATCCAATATAATATAATATTATAATTATTATTATGATATTTTGTTTTTTTTTTTTGTGTTTGGGGTTTTTAGTCAATAAAATATATTGATAATATTATACATATTTATTTTTATAGTACACATACATATATATACATATGTATATCTGTATATGCAGTATAATTTTATTTTATTGGACAAATTTGTTAAGAAAACTTTCTTTTATTTTTTCTTATTTTCTCAACTATAACTTCAATATTTTTAAAAATATTTTTATTTTAAATGTAATTTGAGCGATAAGTAACAGACCAGCTATATTTTATTTTAACAAAAATTAATTGTAAATTAATAATAGCTTTGGAAAAAAAAATTGTGCGTTATCGACAATATCTTAATACAAAATTTGTATGTATTGGAAGTTGTGGAAAAATATTAGAAATTCTGTTTACATTTTTTTCTTTTTGATTTCAGGTTACGTACAACTAAAAATGACAGTGTTATTCTTATTTACCATCCTTAAATAAAAAGTATAGTATCAATAAAATTTGATTCAATAGGATAGAAAAAATCTCGTTACTTTTCTGATGTTGGTGGTGGAGTTTGAAAAATGTTTATATGGTTGTGATCCAATAAATTGTTAAAAAATAATATTTTAGCGACTATAAGGGTTCCAAACTCTCAGAGGCCGTAAGTTTTAGGTTTTTGGAATAAATTCAATTTTTGAATTTTATTTTTAATAGTAAAGTGTATGTACTAATTTTGTTAAAATTTCATTTTTAATCGAAAATATCAAACCAAATATTTATTGGTAAATATGAACACAGTTAATTTAACTTAATCAATGAAGCAAAAAGTATCGAATTAAACTACTGATTTTGTTACATAAACATGTACATAAATTTATGAATATATTTTTAAAATCATTATATGAAAATAAGCGAAAACAATTACATATTTCGACTATAGAATTCTTGAAATAATTATTTACATAAATAATTAATTACAATAAATATTATTAAAAAAAATAATTATATTTTTATAAATAAAATTATATAATTGAAATTATGTTTAACTGGTTTAAAATTTCTGTATCGTCATGTGAATATTATGTAATACATGCTATTAACGCTTCTCATTTTTGTTAAAATAAATCAATAAATAGTATTTATTATTTTACGTATAATGTACTCATGCTTAAATTATATAATATTTAATTTTTATATTATAAGTTTTACATTAATTTCCATTGTATGTGTAAAATATTAAATTATTTTCTTTATTTTTGTTTTCTAATTTAAATTATAATATTAATATGATTTAATAAAATTCCTAATAATACATAATATTATGTATATACGTTATATATATTTATTTACGTCTTTAATTCTTTGTTCACATTCGAATGAAATTTTTTTTGAATATTTGGACCATATAATAAATCTAAATTAGATTTATATATTTATTTTATTATAGTTATTCAATTTAGCTATCTACAATAAGTCAGAATTTTATATTGTATTTATTTTTTAATAAATCTAAATTAGATTTATATACTTTATTAATATGTAATATTATATTGTATTATATAATCAATTAATTTTTCACATCTATGTATGATATTTATGTATAATTATGATAATATTTATTTATTATTTTATGTCACCTAATGTAAGTACATATACTAATTTTTTTTATTTATTTTAAAATTGAAATAGAGAAAATAATTAATTTCAAATAAAACATGATAAATAGGTATACCGCTATGTGCAAGTGAAATCTCATATTTGTTATAAAATGAAAATTGTTCAGGGAAGACAAAAACTAAATTTCTAAAGTAATTTTCTAACTATTTGTATATTATAACTTTAAAACGCTAATTTAATTAAATTAGTGTTTTTTAATAAAATTTAATATTAGGACTAAAAATAATTACTAATTATTTGCGAATTAACATTTTTATAATATTAACTATAAAAAAAAGGTCGTATAAATTTTAAGGACAACGATATTTTTGTTAATAAATTTTAGTACATGAAGTTACACTATCATGCAAATTTAGCATAATTTAATGAATACAATAAATTTTTAATATATCGAAGAAATTTACTGTAAAAATTTATTTTTACAATACTTTTAAAAATGTATTTTTACAGTATTGCCACAATTTACTTTTACAATAAATTTTAACAATGCTGTAAAAATTTAAAATTTTAAAGAACATTGAATTTACGAGATTATGCACCTGCGTGTATGGCATTGGTATCCTATATTTATGCAATTAATGAACTTTATTAAAAATTTTCCTTTATTTATAATTTTGGCTTGAAGAAAATAAGAAAATTACATTATGCAGAGTGTTCTGTAATAAACTACATTACTTTATATAAATAGTTCACAACATTATGATATGTGATAATATTGTTATGAACTATTTCTACAAAGGCTGTATGTGATACACAAATTGTATGCAATTTCAAATATACAATACAAATACTTGCATTTTTTCGTTTCCGTATTGTATTAATGTTAATTTGTGCAACTGTACATAAAATTACTTTTTGCCAATAATTTTTATGTCTATGAACAAAAATGCACTTAGGCACAGAACATTTAATATAATTAGAATTATAAATTGAATTTAAATAAAATTTTTTAATATTTTTTTTATATTTTTTTATATATTAATTAAATTGTATAAGTTTTAACAAATAATTTTTATTCTAGAATAGAATATCAAGCGTATATTTAGTTTTTTTTCTTTCTATATTCATCTATACTATTTTTGCTTACTTATTATTGGCTACTGTTTTTTTTTTTTTGTTATAAGTGTAAATTTATTTAATGTATTTTTAAGTATAAATTTATAAAATTTGTAATTTTTATATTTTAATATTTTTGTTTCTATTTATAATAATTATAATAATTATTATATTTTCATTCTTGAACTAATATTTATAAAAATATTTTTTTTATATTAAAATTTCAAATTGGTGTTTAATATTATAATTAATATTTATATAATTCATATAATTAATTATAAATGAAAATAAACTCAATATCAAGAATTTTTGCAACATAGAATTGATGGCAGCTTATGTTCGTACACATTTTTGATATTAAAATAATTTATATTTATTAATGATATCAAAAAAAATTTTATTCAAAATTCATAAACATTATTTTTTCTTAAGCAGAAGAAATTCAATAATTATAGTTTTCTTTAGATTTTAAAATCGAAATTTAACAAAGTGTAGAACATATAATTGTGCTGCTTTAAAATATAATTTTATATTTGAAATTCTAATTTTTTTATTGTGAAAACAATGTAAACCGTGACTAACATGGATTAATTATGTTGCTGGTCTGGCTGCAACAAAAATTAATCTATTAAAAATTAAATTAATTTAGTAATAAATTTTTTTCAATAATTTTAAATAAAAATATTGAATATTTTGTGTAGAGAAAATAAAATGTTCAATATTTCTACATCCATATATATTTTTATTAAAAAAAAAATTAAATAACTTTATAATAAATTTTAAGTATTCAAATGTAGTGTTACTCAAATATAAAATTTTTGGATTTTTAGATTCAATGGTAATTTTTTATGGTATATTTAATTATAACAATATTTATATTTATTTTTGTTAATTATTTAATGATTTTTTTTGTTTTCAATTAAACATTTTATATATATGTATAGCAAGTAATAATTAACATATTACATAAATTTAACAAAATTTTTAAAGAATTTATTTTTTATAAAAATTTTAATTATAAATTTGATATTGAGTCTTTTTTTATCTATTAAAATAATATAAAATTTAAATCTGTCACATAATTGTAGTTTAAAATACAAATTATTATTTTCGAATTCTTATTAAATATTTCAACAACTCAACTTATTTAATTTTCTATTATAAAAGTCCAGTAAAATAATGTATTGACTTATAATATAAAATTATTATGAATGCCATTTTATTGACATTTAAATAATTTTTATTAAGAAAAAAATTAATAACAAAATTCTTTCCACTGTGTAATATTCGTAGTTTATTGAAGATCAAATTATAGAAAAGTTACGTAATAAGATCTTTTTAATTATTCTAATATTATCCTATATAAAAATTAAAAATCTAATATTTTTCTTTATATGATTATTACAATATTATTAATTTATTTAATTTTAAAATAATATTTTATTTTTAGTATTTGTTTTTCTAAATAAAATTTCTACTATAATAATGTTCAGTTTTTTTTTTTTAATTTATAAGGTTAACTTCATGACAAACTTCCATGTAATCAGGGTCATGCATAATACCTAAAAGAAAAATTAATATTTATTATTAGAATTATTTAATTTTTTACTCAGTCATGATTTTTTTTGAAACGAACCAATATAATTAATTATAATTTATTATTGTACTACTTGAGTGTCATCGTACATAATTTTATAGTTTAGATATTGACAGATTACATATGTAGGCACTTGTATTTTTAATTGTAAGTACATACATAATATATATCTAAAAATCGTGCGACTAATGTATATTTTATGTACACTTGGTGTTTGCACACATATTTAGGTACTAAATTTATCATTATTAAAAAGTAAAAAAAAATTATAAATCATAATATATTGAATTTTAAAAATATTAATTTTTTGAGCATAGAATTAGTTCTATTGTTGTCGTTAAACTCTATTGAGGCGTTAACAAGTCGAATTCAAGGATTTGCTTTTCTAAATTTATAGAAATTTGAAACAGCTAGCAGTTTCGTAAATATACGGAGCCAAAAATTCAAAATTTACAAGGTGAAAAAATATTTCTCCATACGAAATAAACTTTTTTTAGTATCTAAAAGCTGTTAATATTTCAGACTGCTACAACTAATCAACTGGAAGGAAGACGATGTCAAATATTTGGAAAAAAACAGATAATGGTTAATTTTTACGGTCATTTTGTCATTTCCATGCTCAACCACGCTATGCTGCAGTAGAAAAACTGCTTTCTGTCACTACTTTTCTGCGCTTGCAAAATTTGAAAAATGTTTTAGCTTAAAAATAGCATTTTTAAGACTTTGAGTGGCTATTTTTTTTAATAAAGTTGGGTCAAACCAATGGTTTGTATTGTAGCACTTTTCCCTTCAACAAGTGAAAATTCTGCTTTAAAATACAGTCTATGTATACCTATCACACTATTAAAATTATTTTCATTCATATACAAAACTATTTCTAGGATTGCATATATTTAGGATGACGCATATATGCAGTCTTTGAAATAAAGCAAAAATTAATATAAAAAGGGGTTAACACAATGCTTGATTTTAAGGGTTAATTGTGTGAGTTAAGGAAAATAATTATATTTTTTAATTTCATGGAATTTACCGTTAGCTTTTTGCGTTTATAAAAATTTGGAAAAGCTTGCGGTTTCGGAAATATAAGGTGTCAAAAATTCAAATTTTACGAATTTCAAGAGGTGATAACTTGAGAGGGGGTGGAGATGGAAAAAAATTTTCTTCTAACAAAATGAACTATTTGTTAATATCTAAAAGCTCCTAAATTCAAGCTTCTACAGTCTGGGGTCTAGAAGAAAAACGACATCAAAAATTTGGAAAAAAAGGACTTTAGATAACGGTAAATTTGAACGGCCATTTTGTTTTTCTAAAGTTTAACTATAGCATACCGCGCAAGGGGAAGCAAGTCACTGCCTTTCTGCGTTTGCAAAATTTCAAAAATGCTTGTGGTTTCATTGCAACAAATATTTAAAAAAGGCCATTTCTAGGGTTTTGGAGGGGTATAACTTCTAGAGGGGGGGAGATAGGTAAAAATTTTGTTCTACGGAAATAAGTTTCTAGTGAAGATCTATGTACGTATTAAATTTCAGCTTTCTAACTTCAAAGGTGTAGAAGTTTTGTAAACAAAAAAGTGTCCACGGACGGACGGACGGACGGACAGAGTGAAACTAATAAGCACTTTTTTCAAAAAAATTTTTGGAAAAGTGCTAAAAAGGGGAGATATGTAAAAATTTTCTGGTACGGAAATAAGGTTCTAGTAAAGATTTATTTTTATATAAAATTTCACCTTTTTATTTTGAAGGGTGTAGAAATTTTGTAAACAGACCCGCACGGATGGACGGACAGACTGAAACTAATGAGGATTTCTTTTAAATTATTTTAAATGTGCTAGAAACTAAAATTTTTCATTATGGTATTGAATTTTTAAAAAACATTCCAAGTAAGAAAGCAAATTCGACATTATTAAGCAATATTATAAATTCATCTAAAATCATAACGATCTAAATCATTTTCTTCTGTTAAAATTTTTGTACGATCTATTACACTGGTTTGCTCCCGCTTATGATGTGTTTATTTTGTTATTTAATATAAATTTACCTTTAATCATATCTTTAAGCATTGTATAACGTGGGAAAATTGGGTACATTTTTGAACTTTCATAATCATCCTAAAAATGTAAGAAAAATTTTAGTATAAATTAATTAAATTTTTATTGCAGTTTAACTTGTTCAAAATATTCAACAGAATAGCTACATGGCTATATATGTATGTCTTATATTGTTATGTCATATAAATTTAATTAAACTTCAGACATAAAGATATTTTCCTAAATATTCATACATTACCTTAAGGGCTCGAATTAACTGTCTCAGTCCCAAATATTTTTTTAATAATCGATATAAATCATTAACATTTTGATTATTCTCATGTTCTATTTGTGCAGTTGTCATATCTGCGTTAAAACATATAAAAATTATATAATGTAATGCTTTTTTTTTGTAAAAGTTTAAAGATGTTACTTTCAAGTCGTTCCATTCGTTCTCGTTTTTCAGCCGCTTCTTCTGCTAATTTTGCTGAAGTTTTAACACCTTCGCCAGACTTTTGTGTTTTTTCCATTATTGTACAAGCTCTCATTACATACGATGGAACAGTTTCTTGTTTTTCTTGTTTTGGAATATCTATAAGCGTCCAATATTGTCTTTCTAAGCGTATAACTTCCTAAAAAAGAATTTGTTTTTCATAATAAATAAGAAATAAAATCAATTGCAATTAGCTAAATTTCGAAAAATAAATATAATTTACCTTTATCATTAATTTTAACATTGTATATCTTTGAAAAATATTCCGATGGGTTTTTGAGTCACTGTATTTTTTCATTAAGGTAACTAATGATTGTTTTGCAGTCTCATATGAATCTTCTAAACGAAGTCTTAGAGCTCGAAGTCTTTCATTTGTTTCAATAACCTCCTCTCGACTCATACCACCTTTAAATATTTACAAAAAAAAATTAGTAAATATTTCGTAGTAATTCATATACAAATATAATGAAAACTTACTTGGTGCACCTTCATCTTTAACATCTTGGACTATCCTACGAACACTTTGTGTAAATTTACCTACTAAATTGGTAGCTGTAATGAAAAAAGGAATAAAATTAATTAGAAAAAATAAACTTTATTGGTTTTTATTTTAAAATCATTTGATTAAACATATTTTTAAGTTACTCAACTCAATCATGGATCTTTGTTGATGAAGGTTGATATTAAATATTCAATAGAAAATTAGTAAATTTACAGAAAAATTTAAAATTTTTAAATTTCGTGCTATTTGTAGCTTCACACTTGTCTTCATCAACGGCGAACGGTACGACTGAAAATTATATCCTTTATGACGGTGCACAATTCTTTATGACGGTAGGGAAGAAAAATTATGCAGGGACAGATGTTTTCTGAATATTCCACAGTGAAATGCATTAATCCACAAATTAAAGTGAAATGCATACACAAATTTATTTATATATATTGAAATAATTTATTAAATATTGAATCCTCGTCCCTTGAATTATTTAACGCTAGTTGAAGTATAATGGGTAAGCTTAAACTTCCATTTTTATTTCAAATTTTTCAAACGCTTAACATAAAATTATATAATTAAAAGTTTACACTTTACTCGGGCCATTTCAAATTGAAAAAACTGAAAAGTTAATAGCTGAAGTGAATAAAATATTAAAAACATTTTAACTTTTTCGAATTATTTTTACATAATATTTTAGTGAAAACTGAATGATTTAGTGAACGTATAGACAACGTCAACAAAAATTTGTCAAAATTAGTTCCCAAGTTTTTTTTATCAAACTGAGTATGGGGTACTAAATTTTTAAGTTGTAAATATTTTAAGTTTCATAAATTTCTATATAACTTTTGTAAACATAGATTCAAAATAATGAATAAATTCAATTTGAACTTTAAATATAATTTACTTGAAAAACATTTTTTTCGATTTACCAAATTTTTTTTTAGAATCATTGAATTGTATAACAAATATTTTTGATATTAATAAAATAATATTTGTTATTTTCTTTCATTTTGATTTATGTTTATTTTATTCATAATAAATAATCGAAAAAATTCATATGAAAATGGATGCTAAATTATTAATTAATTTTTTTGACATACGAACAAGGATAGAGAAATGAAATATTATTATATTTTCATACATCCTCATATTTATATACGAGTACATATATACCTTCATGATTATTATTACTTTTTCATGCTTGATTTCCTTTTAGTGATTATACGATTAAATAATTCAATAATAATTGTTCAGTAATAAAATTATTGTGAAAAGAAAAAAAATAGATATTTTGCTTCTTTAATATTAGGAAACAAGATATCTAGATATGTTTTTTGTATTTTCGATGCATATGTAAAAAGGATACTCCTATAACTGTTAACTATTTTTGTTGAATATCAAAATTATTTACAAGTGGTACAACATAGCATTACACGTTTATAGTAAATATAATTGATTAATCGATTATAAAGAAGCTAAAAAATTTTCAACAGGAAAAATATTTTTAACAAAAATTTCAAAATGAAAAAATTCATAATATTGTCTTAAATTCATACAGCAAATTAATAATCTTATTTAGAACATTTTTTGATAGCAATTTCAAGTTCTGATTTCAAAAAATTTCAAAAAGCATTAAAACGTGTTGTGATGTCTTACTATCACATTCTAAAAAAATGAAAAGTGCGAAAGTATTATGCGAACATAATACTTTCTTGAGAATTTTATAATTGTGCATACAACGTAAGCCTTCTTTATTATGAGCATGTAATAAAAGGTTATCTTTGTTAGTTGATTTTTCATACTTTTATAGCTAGTTGGCATAGTTATTTGATTAAGAGTGTTCGATTTCCGAATAAATTTAAAGTTTTAGATTTGTCAATTGGCCTTTGAATTTTGTATGGTTTGTAATTATTTCAGCAGTTCACTATGTCTTCCATAGGATAAGAGTTTACACCTACAGCACAACAATTATAATTTTAAGCAGATAATATCGAATCCAAAACCAATGAGGGGATGGGCATGGGTGTGTACGGTGAGTGCGTGAGCATCACAAGGGCCCTCGGACACTGTCCATCCATATTTCAGACTGAAACATATGCGATACGGTTGTGTGCTCTGGAATGTATCAGGAGGAATATTAGAAGGAGCAGCATATTTATTATGTCGGACAGTAGTGCCCTTCTTCGTCTGATATAGTACGATCCAGGCTGCTGGAGAAATGCATTGACACCCTTGACGTCCTGGTAAAAACAACAAATTAATCTTGACGTGGGTGCCAGGTGTGGATGGAAATGAGAGAGCTTGTGGTCTTGCCAGGGAGGAAGCGTCGGCTCCTTTCATTGGGCCGGAGCCATGCTTTAAGTTGCCCAGGAAAACGGTCTTGCGTGGCCTGAGTGGATGGGAGGAGCAGGCCAGGGTTGAACACTGGAACGGTTGTCTGGGCCAGCCGCACTCTAAGAAATTTTTGTCTCCCCTGCGACTGGGGGAACGAAAGCTGACCATGCTCGATTTTTCAGGCTATTGGTTTCGAGGGCCGTTCTGAAAAGGGGCAGAGTGGAGGACGAAGTCTGCCGTTTACGCCTGGAAGAGGACCAAACCATGGAGCACATATTGTATGAATGCGAGGCGGTTGCTTGTATTCGCTTGATGTGACTGCCATACTGCAGTTTGTCAGGGGCCTAGGTGTAGGGCTAATGTAGATGGGGATGGGAATCACAAAAGATAAAAGATCCTATGGGTCAACGTGGGAAGGGCCCTCGGTGCCCGGGAAAGAAAAACAAAAAAAAAACAATTAATATTGCAGAATAGTAAAGCTCTAACAAATTTTATTCTAAATTTAGCAGCACAAAGGGTTTTGATAGTTGTAAAGTTCTAATGCATAAAACTTAATAAAATTAAAATTTTTGAAAAAACTTTTAACTTCAATATGTATATAAACAAACTCTTAAGTATATAAATCAAAATTATATAAATTACTGCTATTAGCAAAAGTTCTATAATAATAATATATGAGATGTATCATATCATAAACATGTATAGGAACTTATATACATATTCACTTACCTCCGTATATTATGTAAATATAGTACATAATATATACGTATATGTATATTCAAGCAAGGTTATTTGCTAAATTTAAAATCATAATTTTTGTTATATTCGAAATCTTTACATAATTTTTATTGTTAAGAATAAGGAAGGTCAATCTAAGAATTTAATTGTTTTGATTTATTTTGTTTTTTTTTTTTATTTTAATTTAATTCTCAATCAATAAAAAATTCTATTAAAATTCAAGTGCTTTGTAAATGAAATTCCATTCTAAGATATATCAAAGAAGAAATAAAATGTGTATGTATGTAAATTGTATATTTAAGTATGTATGTATATACATACGTATGTATGTACATTTCTGTACCATAAAACATACATAATTATGTATGTATGTATATAATGGATATCTCGTGTATGGAAAAAGGAAAAATTTATGAAAGAAAATAATTATTGAAGTTTGATATTTTGTAAGATTTAAACTTTAAACTAATAAAATTCATCACGACAAGTCAAATCTATATAAAATAGATTATCTTTAGTTTCGAATTGAATATAATTTAGTTTCGATTGTAAAAAGCAATAATATACTCGTAATATGCAAATTAAACAAAAAAGATTTAGTTGTTTTCCTTACTTACAGATCCTATTTGAAAAAAATAGATGCGAATATACATACACAAGCTAAGTTGCTAAAGAACGTGCATTAATGAAGCCTATATGCTTTCATCTCAGCAATTTTTATTTATTAATGCATGTTTTGCTAATGAATGTTAAGAACGCCCACATCCATTTAATCAAATCCAAATCCACATCCAAATTCAATCATATTAAAATAAATAAAATAAATTTGGATCAAACCAATCGTTTTCCTTTCTTCAAAAATATTGTGAATAGTTTTACTTTCATGCAAAATAATCGTTTACTTAAAAAATTGCATACTTGTCGGAGAAAAAACAAAAGTTAAAGAAAAGTGTAAACACAATAAATAACTGATATATTTAAGTTTCATTAAAATTAATTTTCAACTTTCTATTTAATTAACATGGTAATTAATATTTATATTATATCATATTTGGTGCAAAAGTTTTTGATTTCATCATTTAAAGTTGTCTAGCATTCATTAAATACAGTTGTAATCTCACGAAAAGGCACTAATTGTGTAGTCTTCGTTTGTGTATACAAATTAATTAAATAAATAATAATTTGTTCAATACACACAAATGTGGACAAAATGTATATACAGAGTGTCTCGCAACAAAGTGCACTGCTATATGCCATTGTATAGGCCTTCATAAGTAGACAAAACTTTTGTATGGAGTTAAAGTCTATTTTAATGGCGATTCAATTAACCAAAAATTTCACAAATTTCTGAAAACGAACATCAAATTCTCCTATGAAATTCACCTAGTTCGGCAAAAATTTATGTTTTTCTTCTTTCAAATCTATTTCTATTCAGTTGCATAATTTAAACCAATTGATTTACTGGAACACCTCTTTAGTAGTATCAACCATATGTCAATTTAGTTTACTTGAAATATGTTTAAAATTTATTAATCCCATTAAATTATTTATTAATTATTTATTAGCTTCATAATGTTAATATCATATCACTTATATACTCCATTTTCTCCAAAAAAATTAAATTTTTCAATTAAAAAAAAATTTTTTCCAATTAAAATTAATGTCAAAATTTGTATGGCATGCCTTTAAAAAATCGTTTCAGATGGATAATTTTTATAACTTCAGATGATACCAAATAGTGTTTAGATTCCGAAAATTATTTTTTTAAATTTTTATTTTGCACCCAATGTGAGAAAAATGCATTTAAAAATTTCAAACCATATAGGTACCATTTCTTATAAAAAATGGCAAAAATAAAAAACCTATCAATTTTCTTTAACAAGAAAAGTTTCGAAAAAAATTTTTGATTACTAGATTTTTTTTGTTTCTCCTAATACAAAATTCTAGTTTTTCTTTTCAAAAATTTGAAATTTTTTAAATCAAT